GGGGGGGGGGGGGGGAAAGAACCAGACTCCCGTTCCCCTGAGTATAGAGTAGAACAACCGAGTAGAGTCAAGACCTTATTATGCCATACATTGGCTGCGCGTGCCAGGCTGACACCGGTGCCACTTAGGAGGCCCACCAATTTTTTTTTCCTACGGCGCCCGGCCCCAAAATCTGAAGTTGGTGGCAACTAAATCTTTCTGCAAGGCTGGGGCCGTGTACTGGTGGTATAAGGCATTGATTTGAAGACATGAAAAGAGTCAAAAGACAGAAAAGTAAACCAGGGGCAAACCCGCCAGGACTGTCTGGGTTGCCTTCTTGAGAGAAATCTAATGGCCCATATCAGACAGTCATAGATTCCGAAAACACTGTTCAAAACAGGAAAAGAGGGAGAAAACATCAACAAGGGAACAAAGCAAGTGAAAAAGAAGAGAGCAAAAAGTGTACGAGTTTGCTGCAAGAAAAAAAAGGAAAAAAAAAAGACAGAGTGAAATAAAGAAGGTCATATATTTTGAAAACACTGTTCAAAACAGGGAAAGAGGGGGAACACATCAACAAGGGAACAAAGCAAGTGAAGAAAGGAAAGAGCAAAAAAGTACAAGTTTGGTGGGGGGAAAAAAAAAACACTGCAGGGAAGGGAGAGGAAGGATCACTAAGGCTCGGGGAAAGAGCGGTAGTGAAGACAATCAGTAGCCACGGTGGAGGACACAACAATAAGTTAGGGGAGGGGGAGAAGTTGGGGGGCAGTAGAAAAAAAGGGTAGGAACAAAGCGGAGGAGAGGAGGGAGGACAGGAGGAGAGGTAGAAACAAAGGGGAGGAAAAGAACTTCAGGTTACCAACTCACAGTCTCTGATATCTGATGTATGATGTCTTCCGGCTCCTGACCGGAGCGATCAATGTCCCGCAGCACTCGTTTGACTAAATCAAAATGAACCCCTCCCGTTATCGACACACGTAAGTCCAGCAGAGGTCTCAGCTTCTCATTGAGAGCATAGATTCCTTCCACAACCAACACACGTGACGGCGGCACCTCCACTTTCCTTTCGTAGATCACATAGAGCGGCAACAATGCACCAAAAATTAGTAGGAATAATAAAAATATTAAAGTAATAAAATAATAATTACACAGCCATTCACACTCTCACCACATCCCCAGGCTCACGACGACACATTACAGAGCACCTCCACTTTCCTCTCTTAGGTCGAAGGGAGTGGCAACAATTCACCAAAAATAGTAGGAATAATAAAAATAACTAGACCTGTTCTAAAAACAAATATGACAGCTGATTCATTCATGGTGGAGGCAACTGATCGATCCAATCTCTCTCTCTCTCTCTCTCTCTCACACACACACACACACACACACACACACACACACACACACACACACACACATCCATACACAAAAAAAAGGAATTGAAAGGAAAAGCTAAACAAATCGCATCACGTGCCACAGCACACGTGGTGCGATCTCGAGCCTTTATCCACCCCTTCCCCACTAACATTTCCACCTCCCCCATGTCTCTCTCTCTCTCTCTCTCTCTCTCTTGCTATCTCTTTCTCTCTCACACACACAAACAAAACGGAAGAAAAAGGAAACAAAAAGACAGATTGTGTCATGCAGCGCGCTTTCATATTCCCCCACCCGCCACCGAATATTCCCTAACCTGACCCCTTCCCCCCCACCCATCTCTCTCTCTCACACACACACACA